AATCTTAATAGTAAAGTACGTGTCCTGAGCCATGTAAAGAAAAGCAGTATTTCTGAGCTACCCAAGAGAGGAACTTGTATATTAAGATAAGATTTGTTAAAGGAAAACGCATATTTCATTACCTTCCTAAGGAAATGAAATATAGGTTTGTCTTTTAGATGAAATTATTCCATTACGCACTGAAAATGCAAACACCCATGTCCGAAGTTTTTCCTGTGTATAACTAGTTAGAAGTTGCTTCCTTGTGTGGAGGTGTCATATCCAGAAAATATACCGATTGAAGACTGCCATTGAAGAACATAACATATCTTTTTTCGTATGTAAGTAGAGTTTCGAGACTACCAGTAAATCAGAAATATGATATATATTTACCCTATTTCATTTAAGGCGATGAAGAACTGGTAGTAGAATTTTCCCACAATGATATGAGTAGAGCTGACGTTTCCGTTGAATTTCTCATAACCTTGATTTCCTAAAAAGTTGTTCTCCTCCAGAGTGGACTGCAGTTTCGACCTCGCATAGGTCTTATCAACACCCCCAGCGGAAGTCTAACCGTGACAGTACAGAATGTGAGCTTTACACGTTAATCACGGCCACATTGCCACGAGTGCCCTTGGGTCACCGGGCAGATGTGAATTTCGAGGAAGGCCAAATCTTTTCTCATATCGCATTATCTGGTAAGATTGTCAATGAAGCAAACATATTTTTGCTATAACAATCGACTACGTTACTTATTTTTGATATGTAAGTAGAGCTTCAAAACGAAATAGGGTGAATACATCTCATAGGACTGATTTACTGATAGTCTCGAAACTCAACTTACATACGAAAAATAAGTAACGTAGTCAATAGTTATAGCAAAAATACGTTTGCTTTACCGGCAATACCACCAAAGAACGTGGTATGAAAAAAGGCCTGGCCGACTGGTTAACGTGTCAAGCTCACATTCTGCACTGCCACGGTTCTACTCCCGCTCGGGGTTTTGATAAGACCTATGCGAGGTCGAAACTACGGTCCACCCTGGATGAGAACAACTTTTGGGAAAGCAAGGCTATGTAAAAATTCCCACAATGATATAAGTAAGGCAGACATTGCCATCGAAGTTGACATAACCTTGATTTCCCAAAAGGTGTTCTCATCCAGAGTGGACTGCAGTTTCGACCTAGCCTAGGCCTTATCAACACCCCAATGGGAGTCGAACCCCTACAGTTTAATGTGTAATCTCGACATGTTAACTACTACGCCGTATTGCCACGAGTACCCTTGGCTCAGAGGGCAGATAAGAATTTCAAGGAAGAACATGAATTTCCCACATCACATTCCTTGGTCGAATTGTCGATTAAGTAAAGTTATGATGGCTATAGCAGTAAACTACATTACTTATTGTAGTGGGTTAGCCTCGCTGTTACAACTTGGTCTTGCCGTCAGGGCAGCTTACTAGAACGTACCTTGTCCGAAGCCCTCTGCTATTATAGTTATCATAATTCCCAGCATCAGACAGTGGACTTGTTACGTTCTCAGACGTTTCACCGGCACCGTAGTCGACATCATCAGTAAGTGCTGCCATTCTCCTCACCAAGCTACGAACTCGTCACACTATCCCTCCTCTTTCTGTCCTGGCCCATCTATCAACTCTTTACCCACTTATCCAACTCCCGCCTTACCACAACTTCTGACTTGTTTATATTCTTCGCATTAAGTATTGTTTATATTCCACTCGTCAAAATGTGTGGCAAATCTAGTATGGCCTCATCACACCTGCTATTCGCCCTTACCCCCCCTCCATTGATCGGCCAATCCGACTCGGGCCTCCTATCCGGATCTCCTTCATGGGCTCGTAGATCCGTTTCTTATCTTTCTGGTTGACCGATTTCACTCGTTTACATTCCCAGTGTGCGTTTTACTCCAGGCTCTATTTCTCAAGGCCTTAAAATCACATGCACTTCGGACAAGGTGCGTTCTACCAAGTCGCCTTGACAAAAATACCAAGTTGCGACAACTTCTATAAATAGAAAGTAGACTTCTACCATACCGGGTGCCACACCATCTTGGTCTTCATATCTTATCTTACTTATTTTTCGTTTATAATAGTGTTTCGAGGCTACCAATTAGTCAGTTATATGAGATGTCTCAAAATGCTACTTAGTAAAGGAAAATAAGTAATGTAGTAGATTGCCATAGCAAAGATACCATTGTTTAATCGACAATTCCACCAAAGAATCCGATATGGGAGAATGCCTGGCCGTCCTTGAAGTGCACATCTGCCCTCATTTGTTTACCAAAAAGCCCCAACTTAGGTGTGAAGAGTAATAAAAACTTAGAACGTGCCTAGCAGGATCGAATCCTTTGTTGAATACCTATCTTGCTCAGATAGGTTACCCAAATGCTTATTCGACTCGCCTTCAACCTCGCCGTCCAGGCAAATGGAACTGTTTGCAAGGTCATTTGATTGACTACGAAAGGATGAAATTGACCTTTCTTCATCTGAATTAGCAAGGCCCCGAATTTGCCTCCTCTTGTGTGTATTGGAAATCTTATAGGAATGCTGATTTTGTAGGCAAAGTGTTTTATCTCTGATGTCTGCAGAAGTTGTCTTGCCCGACCGAGGGGACGTAGAGGATGAAGAAGAGGATAAGGAAGACGAGGAGGAAGAAGATGAAGAGTAGCCACAGGAGTTGTTTGAAATGTCGAGTCCAGCTTCAGAGATCGGAAGAGCTGCTCGGCACCGAGTGAACCTGATATTATGGTGGGCTGCTCCGAGTATATTGAGAGAGAGAGGAGTGCAGAGAGGATCACAGCTGATGTGATGGTGAAGGCTTATAAGGCCGGCGAATCGGCGGCCACATGAACGCGGGCATCTGTATCGTCTTAGCAAGTGCCGGTGGACAGCATTGAGGTGGCTCGGTAAGCAGCTAGGTCGGCGAAATAGACGAAGACAGTACAGACATATGTGACCAGGATGCGTGTAGAGAAGATGGCGCCTCATTGCAAGGGGTAAGTAAATCGAGCCCATTTGGCAAATAGGACAGCTGTTGCTGCTGGTGAGAGATAATTTGGTATTGGCTTCTTGAGAATGATTCATTGGCTCGACTTGGCTCTTGACACCAGAAGGGGTTTCTGATGCTAGAAGCAGTCTGCTAGCTCGTAAAAGAGCAGTGGAATCGAAAAAAGCCCGGTCAAAAACCTTTGTTTCTGTAAGGCGTAAAAAAATATATTGAGTGAATTAATTTTAGGTTGTGCATCAAGAAGTTTCTGACAAAAAGAAGACAGCAATATAATCAATTTCATTACATACCAATAGTTGTAGTGCCACCATCGGCATGTATGATAGCTTGGCCTTTTAGCAACATTCTTCGATAGGAGCGCCTTGATTCATAAAAGGCTTCCAAATTCAGAGTGTTCTTATTCAGCATCAGCTGAAAGTTTCGATACTTATCCAAATGTTATATTATGCAGACGATTAAAATTACTCTAGTCGAAGCTACATTAACAAAAATACAATTGAATTAAGTGTAGATGATCCTGTTCCATCCCAAATGCATCCCTTTCAGACGTGATATGCAGCAATTTTACATGGCATCCACAGCAACCATACTTATCCGCAAGCATTAATAGGAAGTATAAAATTTCAAACCAAATCAAAAATGGATGAAATCAGTCTAAAATAAGTAAGACTGCAGCCAGACACCTTTCTTGTATTAGGGCTTAATGAACCTTTGTAGAATATAGTTTCACATTCTGATAATGTATGTCACATGATAGACGAAAGCCCAGCACGAATTCATAGGGATCGAGGGACGATGCGCCGAGAAGGCTTATTTGCACAAAGCTATGGTCATCACTCCAAATCACTCCTCTAACATTCCGATGAGGCCGAGTTTGAACCCATTCAACTCGTCTCTTAGAAGGAAATGTAAGTTGCAATAACATGAATTTATTAAGAGAGTCTTTACGAACCAATTTCTCTTAATGTAAATACTTTCGTTATTATCTGACTGCGAAAGCAAAGGCTATATCACAGATCCAAAGACTTGAGAAATTTTTTCGTAAGCTTAGGAGTTGGGCGAGTGAGGAAGACAGGGAGAAACCAAATACGTAAATCGTCAATCTTTGTCAAGTTGCTATTTCTCTTGGCAAATTGTGTCATTTTCACTATATACCATTCATAGGTAATGTGGTTGATAATTTATGTGTCTATTCGATTTATTTTTTCGTTATTTAAATCTATTATCATATTTCCGGTAGATCCAATTAACACTCCACTAAATAGCTACTCCTATTTGCTGCTACTTTTGTGGTCTAAAAACGACAATTATGCCTAATAAAACTCATCAAAATGTGAAAATAGCAATCGGTTTGCTGTAAATATGCACAATTTTTCAGATGAGGGGAGACATGACGGTGATCCAAAAGGCAAAATCAAGCCTTGTACCAGATAACTCTAGAAGCTGTCATACGAAAGTTCCTAGAACCAAATCAAATAATCTATAATTAAATAGACTAACTAGCCCATATAATTATGGAAAATGTACATATTTCAAGGACTAAATAAAGACATCTTAGGAAAAGTAGCCTCGATCAACCAAAGCAGATTCCTTTGGCTCAGTGAGAGCCACGTAATTTCATTATCAAAATATTCTGAGCAACCCAATTTACCTTCATATTTACCAAATATTTTCGGTTGGCCTACTCACATTAGTTGATTTTATTGCAGAAACGAGCAAACAGTGAAATATCATTAATGAAAAAAATTACTGATGATGATCTAAATACATTTGTGGGAATAGGTCGATTTGGTCTCGTGTATGGAGCCATAATCTTAAATGCCAAATAAGCTGACCTCATTGATAAGAAATCAGTCAATATAGCTCATCCAAGATTTTTTAGCTTGATGGTTAAGTTTTCATGTAATCACATGGGTAGACTTCTGGATGCTATTAAATTTTACTTAACCTTGCTTTACAAAAGACAATTATTTCATCCAGGATAGGCTGCAGGTTTGAATTCGCCTAGGAATAATCATCACATCCAACGGGATTCAGTAGGTAAGCTTGAGTATCCTGGCGATCTTACAAGTTCAGTACACAGCCACAGGTGCCACTTGGTCATAGGGCATTTGTGGCCTTCATGACAAAACAGACATCTTCCAAATCACATCTGCATAGTGGGATTGTCGATTAAGCAATCATGAATTTACCATTGCAATCAATGACATTGCTTGTTTTCGGTATAAGTAGCTTTCGAGAGAATGGGTAATTGCTTAATAATAACTTTATGAATCTAGGTCGAGTAAGGTGATTTAAGGAGTGGTAGTTAAGATTTTCCACAAAGATATGGGTAAACCTCAGGATTCCGCTCAATTTCGCTTAGCCTTGCCTCCCATAAGGATATTTCATCCAGAGTGGAGTATAGTTGCTACCTCGATTAGGCTTCATCAAATCGAGACGAGATCGAAACTTCACTCAACCCTAGATGAAATAACTCTTTGGGAGGCAAATGTAAGTCAAATTCATCAGCATCATTCTATTTTTGAATATGTTCTAGAGATTACCATTAAATCAGATATATGAAGTGTAATCACCCTATTTTGTTTAAGGTGAAGGACTGGTAGTTGAATTTTCTCACAATATGAGTAGATTTGACGTTTGCATTTAAGTTCAAATTGCATTGCTTTCCAGGGTAGACTGCTGATCTTAAACACAATTATCAGTCTATAAACTACCTTAATAGACCTAAGGTGACTAGCGTATTATTAAAGAATTACGGACATCTTGAAAACTAGTTGTGTTGAAAATCTCCTCGTCTATGCTTGATGGGAGTAGTTTACGAAAGCTTGAAAGTTCAATGTTGTCTTCAACTCATCAGCAATGAAAATGTGGCTGAGTTGAAGAGAACATACGATTAAACGCGAATAATAAAATTTGTAATCAATGCTCTGATGAAGACCAAATCGGAGTACTCAGTGTAACGTCAAAATGTAATGCTTCCGGTCAGGTTGAATTTTGGAAATGCCTTGTACTTAGATGTATTAAGATATATAGGCACAATCAATTAAGGACTATATAGCACATTTAGATTCTAGGACAATTATTCAAACGCGAGGCCGAAACTGCAATCCCCTCCGAATGAGCTAACCTTTTGGAAGGCAAGGCTAACCGAAATTCAATGGAATTCTGATGCCTACTCACAGAAATGTGGAAAAACGCAAACGCAACTGTTTAACTCATCTTAGGCGACCCAGTTTCTTATACAGATAATAGCGAATAATAAAATGAGCTATCACTGATCCGATGCAGACCGAAATATGGTACTCAATGGCAAAATGTGATGCTTCCGGTCAAGTTGAATTTTGGAAATACTCTATATTTAGTCTCTATAGGCACTATCAAATAAGGACTACATTACAAATTTTGATCCTAAGACGATAATTCTTATTTTAGGAAGCCAGCATCGTGTAACTTTTTAAGTAGCAAGAGAGTCTCTGAAATTATGAAATCGCACCTAGATTATTTTCCACAAGAACAGCCAGCAGAGCGGAAAGCAAGAGCCTTTCAGGTTTGCCAATTATATTTTAATGGCAATGACATAGTCAATTATAAATCTCTAATACTTATGAAAATCAAATTTTCTTGAAGTCGAGAACTTATCGCTTAATCTAGTAACAATAGGAAAAGCCGAAAACCTAGTGCATCAATTTGGTGCGCCCTCTTCCTATGCTCAAATATGCACAAACGATCTTAAATAAGGTGGAGATAATGGCCAATTTGGTATATATGTTGACAAGAAATGAGTATGTAATCTGATAATAAACACAAGAACAAAAAAAAATACAAATTAATTCAAACTAAAACTTTGGGCCCTATGATTTTACCAAATAACGATGAACGGAAGATTAAAGCATATCACTGTAAAGATTAAATGTAGAAGTTGTTTGACCTTGTTTTCGCAACTCGGTCATATTGGTAAGAAGACCTAGAGGAACGCAG